ATAAACAATCTGTTATTATTAATTCAAATTCATTTATTAGATTTTTTTAATTGATGCTAGTGCATTTGAATTTTTTTGCAGATCACATTTATAAATAAAAATCATAGCATCAAGAAATTTACATTGATTTAGTCAATAATTGATAGAGATTAAGTAATACATGTCAGTAGTATTACATAAATAATTGTTGCTTTTTACAAATTTATCAATCCGAAAACATAATGGATACCATATAAGTTTATTTATCAATGTATTTTTTGTTTTACTCGCATATGTAAAATAAAATGACTCTAGACATCACGCACGTTTTTGTTTCTTAATGCATGAGACTCATATGAGTCCTGGAAACTGATAACGTGAAAAGCTACTTGTTACAGTCATATGTTTACATATCTTGACTCACTTCGTTCTTTGCGATACGTGCTTATTCGAGTCGAATTCCTTGATGCTTTATTCTCTCCTATATATTGCCCTCTCCTCTCGCTTGCGAGATGGTGGATCGCTTCGAATAAAGTGAACCTCTAGTATTTGGTGCCGCGACCCGATCTTCTTTACTATTACCATCGAAGAAGAGAAGCCATCTTTAAGAGATTACATTTATTATCGTATTTCTGATCCAGCTACTACAATATTCCACGATGAATTTATCGCAACTAAGTCGGCGTCATCAACAGTTAGCAGAAGATCATTTATATTTCTTCACCGGGAAACAAATTCAAAGTGTTCAAGCATGGTTCGAAGACATTGAGATGGTAGCTAAAATGATTCATGCTGATGAGTCTGTCTCAATGAAACAAGCAATTGGGCTGTTGATCGATGAAGCCGAGCAGTGGTATCAGCAAAACAAAAACATATTAATCGCATGGTCGGATTTTAAACATGGAATGATACTGCAATTTGATAAGGATTCAAAAAAAATACTAACACAAACGCTACGATGCAATCGGCAACGCTGATGAAAAAATTTCGGCGCACTATCGCATGGCATCCACAGCACGTCGCACACTACAGGTCATATCACGCTAGTAAATCATCTTCAACTAATCAAACATCGTTTTGCTCGCCGTCTCCCTCTCCGCTCTTTGAGTTAGATTCGTTTGAAGACCCATGGCCTAACGGTACAGAGTCATGGCATTTTCATGAGATACGGCCCCAACGATCATCATTTACAACCAGAGTCGATCGAGAAATGTTGATGATCACACCACAAATCGTCGTAGAACGAAAACATCAACCAATAAAACGTGCACTACAATCGAATCAAAACATAATTGAATTTGCACCGAAAATTGATCAAATATCACTTCTACCTGTTAAACTACCAACGGACATGCACGAAGTCGTTGATATGGATGCTTTTCTACAAAAATCTTTACCATCATTCGAGACAAAAATTGCTTCGGATGTCTTGAAACTAAAACAGCAGCACCGATTTGCTCTGAACTTGAACGATCTGTCAAACGATTCATTACTCTCATCACATTTCGTATCACAACTGCGGCGACGAGATCAATCGCGCAACCGATTATTGCGACAAATCGGTGTACGCTCTGCTGTGCTGCTATTATTTTTATTTACAGCACTAATACGCTTCGACATTGTACATTGTCTAACATATCTTATACACAGTGTTACCACAGAATCTCAAACTTTCTCATTAATATTCTTTGTCAACACGATTCTCACTATCTGTTCGCACCATCTAAAGCATTCAACGCCGCACGTTAAAACCATTGAAACACTTCGTCAACTCGAATCACTCTTAATTTATCCTGTTACATAATCATCGCACAATATTTTTCATCACATCCTACGCTCATGACTATATATCGTATTTTCTGCATTCAATTATGTTTCTGCCTGTCAAAATGAGTGACAATGGCCGACATTTTCCTGGAAATTTTTTTAACAAGCTTTCGTGCTTGCACGTTTCGTTAATATTCGTACACTCATCCGTTCTCGACGATCACAACTTGGATTTTCATTATCAGTTTTCTTCTTCGTTAGCTATTCGTACATTTCGTCTTCATACGTTAGAACTTATCGCACGGTGTACGCATAATTCATCATCGTTTTCGCATTTTTTCTTTTTTTAATTGATTTATTTCTTGCTTTAATCTTATTCATTTTTTTTGCAGTTTTTTGTTGTTGTTTCTTTTCCTCTTTATGATGTGTGTGGACACACATCTCTGTCGGTGAGGAGGTATGTTACAGTCATATGTTTACATATCTTGACTCACTTCGTTCTTTGCGATACGTGCTTATTCGAGTCGAATTCCTTGATGCTTTATTCTCTCCTATATATTGCCCTCTCCTCTCGCTTGCGAGATGGTGGATCGCTTCGAATAAAGTGAACCTCTAGTACTACTTCTGTTTGATATTTGTTTTTACGCAAATGTTTCAAATAAATCTGTATTATTAAGTAATTATTTGACTTTCACGGTAATGATAAAGCTCATGACGCATATATTCGTTGCTAGTCACTAAAAAATTAAATATAGATTTATCGGCATTGTACGATATAGAAATATTTTGTCGCCTACTCACACAATATGGTCGTTTTACTTTATTGATATGTTACACCCTCGGAACAAAGCGTTCCTAAAGTGATGACCCATCCAGCACAAAAATTTTAGCATGTAGAAAAAAAAAAGAAGTCTTATTTTGATTTCGGCGATGGCATATTAAACTGTTTCGAGAACGTACGCAATTGCGATTTTGATATATTATCTCACTTCTGCGTTGCACCAATAAACAAGAAGTATTACTCATCAGAAATTCGTAGAATTCTCGACTCATGAAGGATTACGAACAATTGCAGCATATTTTTTTAGAGACTTTTGATGCTGTTGCAGTAGTCATAAAATTTAGACTCATTGGATTTCTACTTCGTCTTGAATTTCTTCTAATGCCTTAGTGGCTGCCTATATATCTCGAGTTTTGTTGTTTGTTCAACAAATTGATTCGATGTTTATTTTCAGAATCTTGTTTAATTATTTCTTCTTTGAATGATTCGACAGAGACAAGAGTTTTGTATATGAGCCTAGTTGATAACAGGCTGCTGAGCTAAAAGTGATGGCTAGTTACATATGAATGAACTGTCAAGTTGTTGAATAGGGCTTTTGGAGACAGTGGCGCGATAATCTTTGATGACAAGGTATATTGAGCTGTTGCTGCTAAAGTCATTTCCTTAGAAAACGGTCGATACCCATACAACGACTACATTTGTTAACGCCAAGTATTTCACAATCGGTTATTTCATATACGTAACCGTTTTGACATGATATCATTAGCAGAATTATCATTTTTATATAAAATAAACATTGTTATTTTGAGCGTATTTTGAAAAATCATTATGTAATATTTTTTTCTATTTTTTTTTCTAGTATACAGTTGCGAATTGAATTTACTCTCAATTTTGTTTTCGATCTCTTTCAATTATCTGGTTAGTTTAAGGGACAACGCTGGCAAAATAAGTTTAGAATCAAATAAATTAATGGAAAATAGATGAAGAATAAATTGAATATATAATATAAAAGACAACAGCTGAAGGCAAAAAATTAAAGCATAGTAATATATATTCAGTAATCAATGCATCAAAATAAGAAGAATTTAGATGAGAACAATTGAAGAGAGATATTGCTTCGTTGTTGAGGAATTTATTCAGAAATATGAAGAAACGAAAGGCGATGGCCTACATCACTTCGTTTGGAAATATACTTGATTTATAGACTTACAAAGCCAACTCAATTATTTCTGAAGGACTGATATGAGACTTTTGATTCTTAATTCACTTTGTAAAGGACTGACTCGCTCTATGCGTTATGCAAAAAAATGCGTAATAGAAGATATTTGATAAAGGCTCTATTATTCGAAAGGACATTTATTGTTTAGATGCTGATCTACGAAGTGTCAGGAGATGATGTCGTTCAGCAAAAGGCAATGGAGCTAATTAGGAAACTTCTTCAGTTGTCACCTTTAGATTTCAACAATTATTTGCTTATAGATACTACATAGTAGTCTAATAAAAACACTAAAATGATTGGGTTTCCTATTCAGATTTGAGTAAGCGGTCGAATTTTTTTTTCCTGAAATTTTGTGCATGCAGGGAAGTCAACTAGACCAACTTCCATGGAAAAAATTCAAAAGTTGTGAACAAAGTCTCTTCAAGATAATAGTTTATATAACATGCATTTTTTTATGGAAGCTTGCCTAGCTGAATTTTCTATATGCACAAAGTTTCAGTTGAAAATATCAAAGGACGAGTTTTTTTTGAAAACCTGAGGCCCCTAGAAAAAAAAACTCGGTAGCTTAGTCAACTATCAATATGAATCTGAATCCCTCTAGCATTTTATTAGAATACCATGCAGTATCTATAGGAGAAAGATAATCATTGAAATCTGAAAGGAGCAGCTGAAGAGTTTACGTCATAAGTTAAATTGGGCGTTTATATGATGAAAATGAGAACGTAGTGCACAATAAATTTCGAAGTCTAAATCTGTCAAGTCAACTATTTTCTGACTCTTCAAAGATTCACTCATAATTTCTCACCTATGAGTCTCACAAAAACTTCAAACATATGTCACAAAAGAGCACTCCACTTATCGGTTGAAAAATGAAGAGGCATTTTGTCCAAAAACTTCGACACTATCCGTTAGTAGAAAACTAGTTGTGCTAAAAAGTAAAATTTATTGTGATTACAAATCTTGATAAAATCAACAACTCTGAAAACATAATTCTGTATCATATAATTTAACTCAACTGTAGCATGCATTAGTAATGAAGAGAATATAATTCATCAGAACTTATGCTTCAACTCTTAAATAAAAATTGAATAGAAAGCTTGTAGTTTGTTATTGATACATAGTAATTATATGAAAATAATCTGTATCTATATTTAGATTACTTTTAAACATAGATACAAATTCTTACAATAATAAATAACATATTTTTTTTTTCGTTTCTTTTTAAACGTATAAATAAAATTGTTTGAAAACTATTTAATTATCACCATACCATCCACAGCTAGCAGTTGTTATATAATTATTTGTAGTCGAATCCCATGAAATAAGAGCAATACCATGATGCCATCTTTCTATCCATTTAATTGTTTGTGTTTCATAATCGAAATATCCAACAACACCACCATAAACTGATGTTTTCCATTCAATTTCTTTTGTTAAAGGATTATAAACACCTCCAATACCTGAATGAAATGATGTTTGCCATTCAATTGTATCTATCGCTGGGTTATAAACTCCATGAACACCACCTTTATAGAATTTCTTCCATTCGACTATATTTAATTTAGGATTAAAAACTCCATAAACACCTGTTTGAAAACCCTCTTCCCATTCAATAGTATGTGTAATTGGGTTGAATACGCCATGAATTGCACCATGTCGATATTGTTTCCATTCTGCACGACCTGTTATTGGATTGTATACAACTGCTATAGATCCATTCCAATGTGTACGCGTTTCTATTGGTGATGTTTCAAATGTTGTTTCATTGAATAATTGAAGAACTTTTGTTGATAGATATTTTCGTTGTTGATAAATTTGTTTAAGTGGTACAACAGATGAATTTTTATATTGTGAAGCTGTATGAGTAAATATACGTTTGAATATATTAAATTTATGATAAAATGTTTCTTTAGCATTTTCATATCTACGTTTATCATCTATAAGACAACTATTGACATTGTGTTTTAAATTTTGTAATGATTCAAGAAGTATTCCTTGATGTTCTCGTCGAATAGTTTGATGTTGAAAATATAATTGTTGATAAGTATTATACTGTAAATCGATTGTCGATTCAGTTGACATTAATTAAAATACATCTATACAATTTCAAATTATTCATTGATGTAAAAGAAATCAAATCTTTCTACAGTTGAAAAACTTTACATACAGATCAAAGAATAGAATAGTACACAAATTTTTATTTATCATAGAGTGAATATTCTTTTATTAACCACCAAAAAAAAACAGTCACTTCGATCGAAATACGATGCAAACACTCATGCTTTTCTTCCGGACAGGAAACAAAATTTTAAGAATACTCTGTATAAGTATGCGACAGAAAAGAAAAAAAAGCAATAAATATATAGATGCTGTGAGACGAAGACTTATTTAATCATTTATGTTTTTCTAGAAAAAAGAAACATTACACTCCATTAAATTAAAACATTCAAAATTTTCTGAATCGTTTAACAAAAAACACAACCACATCTGTATAGAGGTCCCAATGGATTAATCTGCCTTGTCAAAAAGATCAATATAACGAGAATCTAATTATATTTCGGAAAATTGATCAAATTTAATTATATAAGACAACGTTCACCCTTTAAGTTACAACAGATGTCTCATTATTCCTTTGAAAGAGAAGACGAAGGGAATCGAGTTTATGAATTTGATTTGTCCTACAGACGACCAATCATGCAGATGTCGGAAGTTATGTTACATTACATTTAAATGACTTCAATCACAACAAGAGAATTACGTAGCGTTCGATGGCTGAGTGGGGAAAAGGTGATCCTCGTTGGATTGTAGAAGATCGTCCAGATGGTAAAATACAAAAAAAAAATGATATTATCTACTATTTAAAATTCTAATTTCTAGCTACAAATCCAAATAATTGGCATTGGAAAGAAAAAAATGCTACACAATGGTCAAAAGATAAATTAAATGAATTATTAATTGGACTTAAAATTGAAAATGATGATTATATTTGTGAAATAAAAGAATTAAAACGATGTTCAGGTGAAGCATCAGCTAATAATCGAAAAGCAAAACTTGTTTTTCTTGTAAGTAAAATAAATGTCTATGATTACTCTATTTTGTTTTTTCAATCATTTCTTTTTCTAGTATGAATGGCAAATTGAAGGTAAATGGGAAGGATCCATGCGTAAAGGAGAAAATCAAACAAAATATGAAGGTTCATTTGAAATACCAAATTTATCTGATGAAAATAATATTGATGAAATTAATATAACATTTTTTGCTGAGAAATCTAAAGGTGAAAAACTAAAAGAAATAATGAAAAAACAAGGTGAATCCTTAATACGGCAAAAACTTGCTGAATATGTTCGTTTACTTAAAGAAGAATTTTCTCAAGGACTTATTTTACCAACTAAAAATACTATAACAACTAATAATACACAATCTATATCATCAACAAATAATTCGAAAACTGTTATCCATACACAATTACCAATAAATCAAAATAAATTATCAACTATGACAATGCGTGATATTAAACTTCATGATACATTTAAATGTACAAAAATTGAATTATTTCAAGCATTTTGTGATATGAATAAAGTTAAAGCATTTACACAAAATAGTGTTTCACAATATGATTGTAGAAAAGGAGGATTTTTTTCATTATTTAGTGATAATATAACAGGACGTTTTCTTGATATTGTACCATATGATCATATTGATATGTTATGGCGTTTTAAATCATGGCCTAGTGATCATTACTCACATGTTTCATTATTATTTTCTGATGGTACTGATGAAACAAAAATTGTTATACAACAAACCGGTGTACCTAGTCAATTTTATGATAATACAAGGGTTTGTTAAAAATCTTTTTATTTTTTAAATAAAATAATTTTGTTCTGAAATATTTTAGGAAGGTTGGAAACGTTTTTATTTAGAAAGTATTAAATCAACATTTGGCTATGGATCACGACTGCAATAGACTATTTAAATTTGTTTTTTTTTCTTTGTATTATCTAATTTTTTCATAAATAAATTTTCTACTATGAATATCAGTAATAGACAAGATTCAAAAATATTTTTCTTACTCATATTTCGACTTTTGTCTTTTTGAGATGAATTCTTGTTGTAGCATTCAAATATTAAATATAATGAAAACTGATTTTTTGTTTCAAATCAAAGTAGATCTTACTGTGTCGGTAAACATTCATATTTTGCAAAATATAAAGCTAAAGAGTAAAACAAAAAGTTCCAAATAGCATGGAGTAGTGCTCCCTCAAAAATGTCTGGTTTTCTGCCAATTTTTTTAAGAGCTTCATAACAAATTTCAACATCAATAGGGTTTTGGAATTCCATCTGCTTTTCGCTAGCAGAATGTAAAATAAAAATAAGCAGATAATGTTGTTACAAGGTGAATAGGATTAGGAAAAGACGGCCTTGCAGCAGATCGTCTGCTGTAAGAGGGATTAGGCTACGATACGTTTCGTTTTTCCTTCTTGGACAATACTTTTTTCTCTGCAAATATGAAAGCAATCTCTGCTAAACTTTTAGCTTCTTCCACAACCTCTAGAGCATATTGACAGTTGTGGTATGAGATGCTTCAAAAGACTGTTAGAATAAAAACAAAACTATTCGTAGACAAGTTCAGTTCTCGTTCGGGTTTGAGTAACTGTTGAAAACATTCTCTGATCGGAATTAATTTATTCAAACACTTTTCGATCTAATGTTTAGAGATTTAAAGACATTCATAAATATCTTTGTCAGGGCTATGTTCATTATTATATGGATATATTTATGGATTGTTTTATCTTATAATAGTATTTATAAGAGAATTAAAGATTCCGTATAGAATAAATTCAAATTATTATTTCTTCTGTAACATACCTTATCGCTCATTATTTAACTCATGGCAGATTATTTTTAAGCACTACAATAGATTCAATACAAGTTAACAATAAATTTCAATTGTTTGAACTATAACTGTCTACGATTTGAATAGATTGGTAGTATTGACTTGATCGACAACAAATGAATTCAATGATTTACTAAATATCGCAGCAACAATACAGATATGAACATGACATGAAATAAAATATTTACATGAAGAATTTTATTGATTTATGCTATGAACTATTGCAATAGCTTAGATTAGACGTAATCTATACTTTTTTTTCTGAATCATAATTAAAGTCGATTGAAGCAAAATAAATAATTGAACATGTCTCTTTTTTCTTTTATTGAAGCTTTGAGTATATTTAATTATTAATAATTAATGTTTAAAAACAGCTAATGATTTATTTCATATTAATTAGTTTATAAAAATCACGATAGATATTATGAATTATATATAGAAAACTTCAATTTTAATTTAAAGTTTTGATTATGTTTAAGTATTTCTATCTTAACAATATACAACTTAAATCAATCTTCAACGATAATGTATCAATTCTATTCATGAAAAAAAAACACTTCTATGAATAGATTATCATTTTCATATTCATTTTTCATTGAGGATATTTGTTGTACAAATATAAACAAAAGAAAAGAGAGTCAAAACATTTGGAATAATATGTATATATATAGAAACAAATCACACAAGAACTACTTGATTAATTTCGAATATTGATATAGTCACACAATGGCTAGCCATGATAATCATGTTTAAGACATAATGTATGTAAAACAAAAAAGCACATAGATCATTGCGACAAGTGAGAGAAAGACTAGAAAGAAAAAAGAGAAAAATTAAATTGAATGAGAATATTGTGTTTTTTTTAGATGCATCACCAACTTGTAAATATTTAACAAACATAAGGATTTGTACGTGTTGGTGGTAATGAATCATCTTCACTTGAATTAGAATGTTGTTTAGCACATGATGAACCAATAGCTGAATTAAATAACATTGAATGATTACTAGTATTCTCCATTGATATTGTTGGCGTTTGTAAATTATTTATGAGTCGTTCAATACTACCACTTGTCATTGTTATATTCTGTAATTCTTGTTGTGGTGGCATTAATATTGAGTTTGAGTCATCAGTATTGTAAGCTGTGTTTGTTAATATTGGCTCGGGATCAAGAATATGACTCAATTCTTCGTCATCATTATAAAAAACTGTTGGTTGAGAGGATGGAAGTGGTGGCGGTGGTGCAGTATCAATAATTGTTGAGAGAAATGCTGTATCACCAAAGATCATTGATGATTGTGATGGTGATGATAAATTATTCATTAATAAACATTCGTTGAAATGATTTGTTATAAATGCCTCAAGATCACTTTTTTGTTGTTTTAATGTTTCGACCATTTGAAAAAGACGTTGATGAGTATTTAATTCTTTTGTATATTGATTTTCAAGATTATTCAAAACATGTTCACGTTTTTCACGGCACTTTGTCGCTGCTACACGATTACGTTCACGACGATCACGACGTTTTTCCTCTTCATCACCTGATAAAACTTCATATTTTGAACGACGACCGGTATACAATGTCTTTGATGCCTGTTTACGTGGATTAACTGTTATCGGTCCATATCTAAGTCATATAAGAAAAAAAATAAAATAATTTCAATATTTGACATAATTTAATCTTTTACCTCACACGACCTTTTGATAAGATTTGTATATCTGCTTCTAATTGGGGTTGTGAAATAATAGGAGCAGAAGGTATAGGGTTGATCGGATTTGTTAGATTTTTTTCTTTTCGTTGTTCTTTTGATGGTTTTGATTTATTATTGTTCACATGAGAATTCATTGTTGTTGAATCAATTGTTGATGATGATAAAGTAGATTCTCGTAAATAATGAACTATTGAATCGACACTATCAAATTTAGAAAGCATTTGTGATGATCTATTGATTTGTACAGCCTGAAACTAAAATACTTTAAATGAAATAAGCTTGTCAAATATAAAAGGTTGATTTTTTCCAAATTGAATAAAATAGCAAAAAGAATCAGAGAAAGAACGAAAAAGAAAAAGAAAAATTATATGTATTGCAAACATAAAATAATTGCTCTAAGGCAATAGCTGAGCGCAATAATGAATTGACTATGCAAATGTGAAGCACTCGAAAATTTTATACATAACAACAGTTTTATCTAATCATACACAAAAGCATATTTCGATCTCTATATTTATTATTTACTTATTTTTCTAAGGCTTAAATCATATATATATATATATATTAAATAGGATATGGTATAATTGCTCATTGTTAATATTGTTTGAAAAATGAATTTTATTTATCAGGAAATGTGTCTGCAAGTCAATATATGGTATCATGGTCTAACTAAATACGTTACCCTTTCCTTTTTTTTATATCTATATAAATGACGTCATGTTGTTGTTTAAGACAACATTTATTAACTATGACTTACCTTCCAACTATGTCGAATTAAGATAGAAAGAGAACACAAGTATATATTTTTTTAATTCTATTTTATAAAAGGAGATAGTTAATTCTTATCGAAAGAAAAAGAAAAGATGTCATGAATAGCAGAAAGAGAAAAAGAAATAACGATTTTCTTTTTGCGAATATATGTAAAGTGCAAGAATAGATGTGTGTTTGTCGTTGCTAGATGCTGAAAATAGATGAGCATGCTTTTTTTTTTTATATTCTTTTTATGCTTACGTCAGTATTTGTCGACATTTTTATCAGAAGAACAACATAGGAAAAAAAAACATGGATAATGGCGTCCTTTTTCCTTCTCATGAAGATTGACAAAAGAAAACAGTCACACCCAATCACTGTCATAGTTTGACATATTTCTGTTCTTAAAAAAAAAACATAATCAAATGATTTATATCAATAAAAAAAATTTTTTTTTAATGCTACTTCTTCTAGTTTTATTTTATAAAAACAAGTTCATGAAATAGACAATAGTGAGATACATATTCTGCATAAAAACACACGCGCGTGTATATTTATAAACATCTATAAGTTTAAAATTTTTCTTTTTTTTATGTTCAAATAATTTGATTGAATTTAATGCTTTTTATCATAAGTGCCTTCTCCTTTATAATTGCCAACATAACCCGTATTTTTAGCTTGATCAACACGACCTTCTTTTCCTCTACCAAATCCTTCAGCATCAAAACGTTCTTTATGTGAACCTGTATATTGACTTGCATCAGTCATACGGTCTGTCACATCCTTATTGGCAGTAGTCTAAATATAACAAAAATTATAAAAATTTATTTTTTATTTTATTTAATGTCTTACTGTAACACCAGCTAAACTTGGTCCACCTGTGGAATTAATTTGTCCAATAATTTGATCACTTGATGTCTTCTTTGATGCAGCAACTTGATCAATAAGTTGTTTAAAACCTTGTAATTCAAATGTTTTACTAGAACATTAATATTCATATTTATGAAACTCAATTGATTCAACTGTTTTTTTAACTTACATTCCCTTTGCATACGTTCCTCCACTAGTAAGTTTTCCAAGAACACGAGCAATATCATTATCAAGTAATTGTGTTGAATATTTAGAATCAACAACACCTGCATCTTTCATCATTTTTTGAATATTTTTTGAATCAATTCGAATATCTTTTTCTTTTAATTGTGCGTCAGTTTTACCAAATCTTGAATAGGTATCGAAAGCAGCTTTTAACCCACTATTTCCACCTGATGCCATTTTGTTATAATATAAATTGTTTACGTATTCAAAAAAAAAAAAACAATATCTAAAATAAAGAATCACAAGATTGTAGTATATATGTTTGTATATAAAACATGTACAATGTTCTCTCGTATATGCAAGTCTTGCAAATGGTATTGATTTATTTCAAGAGAAAAATGATGGTTACATGTTGTCTAGGAGATTCACGTACGTTTACAGCAATTTAGAATAAAAGGTAGAAGCACAAAAAAAGAAAAAAAAAAAGAAAATGCACGTATTGGCATACACTTTTGTTCTCACTTTGCCCGATCGTCTTGATAAATGAATCATTTTTTCAATTTGGAAAGAACTTTTTTTTTTATGTAATACTGAGAGTAAAAAGTGTGAAAGGCAATAGCCTTCATCACCCACTATTACGTATAGAGAAAAGAAAATGTAATATCTGTACTCAATCTCACCCTTTCTATCCAATATTGTTTGAAAATATTTAAAGAAAAACGCACAGTAGATTTGCAAAAGAAAATATTATTTACTTCTTACAACTCTTAATCGTCTTTTAACGATGAAAAGAAAAAGTTGAAAAACACTTTTGTTTTTCTTATTGTCTATTGTAAGGTGTTTTGATTGAAAGAAAAAAAGATTAAATAAAAATAAAAAAATTTTGCAAGAATAGTAAACATTATTCAAAATAGAACACAAAACACCGGAATATGATTTCTTTGCTCTAGCGTATCTATTTCAATAGAATGAAATTTCATTGAGATTGATTACAAAATCCATTCAAGTAACAATAATTGATGAAATTTTTGTTTTTATTTATTCAGTCAACTTTTATATCATTTGAATATAGCTAAATGTATCTTAGTTTTCATGTCAGCGAGAACATAAAGAAACTGACATTAGCTTTCAACACAAGAAACATTATGGGAAAACATGTTTTCTATTTCTTTTATACGAGGCATAGTGACAGAGCCAGGATTTTGAGCTGAGGGGACTCAGTCTTCTCTGAGGGAGTTTTGAGTTTCCCTTGGCGAATAAAATACATGCTTTAAAAATTTTTCTGGGGGGAGGGGTGCTCAAAGGTTTCTGAGGGAGCTGGCTCCTCCACTAGCTAGGCATTTATTTATATACTCCACATACGTTATCAATCAAAATTATTAGGTCTTCGGCACATATTCGTATGTTTCACTTTTCATATGTTAGTTGACCTATACGTATACACAGTCTTTGCATAAAACATATTTGATCAATTTTTGTCTACTTATAAATCAGTGAAGAGAATCACAAAATAATCAGCTCAAATGAAAATTTCATACTATTTTTAATTATGTATTAAGATTCTTTTGTCTAGCTTCACCCTTTAAGGACCGAATTAATTTGGAATTGAAAAATGACTCTTTCGTCAGTTTATTGTATTTGGCTCAAAATCATTACATAGAAGCCTTATGACAATGCATCAAGATAAGAGAGGAAGTAATTATGGTGTCAATGTATGAAGCAGAAAGAAAAGAGAAGATCTGAGGACCATCTATATGACAGAAAGAAAGAAAGAAAAGATATGCACACGATGGTAGCTGGAACGACCTACGACCGTACGGGTGATAACAGCTTATTGAGAAGCAAACAATTTCCTAACTGGAAAATAGATGATACAACCCTTGTACCACGGTCCCGAAAAGGTTAAAGTTAGTTTATCGAGAACAAAAATTTAATGGCGGCCAAAATTGACATTTGTACAAAACGTTAATGTAAAAGGTACCGGTAAATATGTTTGTTCATTTTTTTTTTTGGAAATTTCGATGCTGTCGAAGAAATTCAGAATTTTTTATAGATTTGTGATTGCTTAGCAGAAGAAAAAATATATTTAAATAAATCAAGGATGTTATTTGTACTTGTAAGAGAACCATTCGAGGTGATACTTCGCGTTTGAGATAAGATTCCAGTCATTTATTAGGATCTGTTGAGATTAGAAATGCGTTGTTATTTTCGAGTTATGACCGTTACACTGATTTTTTTTTGCTTCTAACACGGTAATTATTTAAAAGACCAGCCAAGTGAATATTTGATCTAAAACTTTGCCTATAGATAACTCTTGAATTCATTAGAGTTTCCTAAAAATTAAGTTAAGGTATCTTATCGAGATATCAAACCCTCTGAAAAGCATGAAGTTCTATCAAAACTACGAAAGATCTAGTTTTTTTGTGGATTTGATATTTCAAGAAGAGACGACTCTTTTTGACTTAAATTTTTAGAAGATTGTAATCAGTTCAGAAATTTCAAAAGGCCAGCGTATTGACGAGAATCCTTCTAGATTTCTTCTAGTCTTAACAAGTTCTACGTAAGGATGGAGATCTCATCTCAAACGCAAAGTATCACAGTAAGTTAGAACTCGAAAAACATCAAACTCTATATATACTTTTCAAACAGTTAGTATTCACCTGAAACGACATTTATAAAAAGAAGTCATTTCTTTCGAATTTTGGTATATAGAATGCCATAAATTTCAATCATTTGTAGTAATATCTAAGAAGAAAAACTAATTGAGTATTTTCTAGAGCTAGGTTCTCTCTACAACGTACTGTATTGAAATACATTCTTAAACTTTAGACTAAGATAGATTTTATCAAAATACAAAATTGAACCACACGAATAATTTTGAATAGTTATCGTTTTTTTGGCCTTTCTCAACAATTTGTTCTAAATAATGTAACATTAAGTCCAAAAATTAATTCTTAACATGTTGTGAGAAAGAACTGATTACATTTGATTTTCCTCAGAGACTTACAGGTAGTTGAAAACTGACTAGATATATTATATAAAGATTATTTACAAACAGGTTATATTGAATTTAGCAAGCAAAATTTCTCAAGAAAAACAAAATAATGATCAGAAGAATTTTCGTTCCGTTGAATTCTGGTCTCTTCTTTCTTCAGCCAATATAACAGCTTGTTTTTATTTTTTTAATAAATATTAAAAAACCACAAAGAATTTCTTGTATTTGCTGTAATTGATATTCATATTCTTCATATAACTAAATCCTTGTTATTCATATTTCCATACAAAAACATAGATTTTTCTTCACCTTGAAATAAAGAATTAATTTAGTTGTTAAGAAATTTCGTATAAACAATATCTTGATAAACATATATATTTTTCTCAATTTCAAATTGGTTTTTGATCAAAACAATATTCATTTCATAAGTATTTTTGAATC